CCCTCTCCCTCATCCCCTTCCACTGGGCTAGAAGAGGGCAGCTTTGCAGGAGCAGATTGGGGATCAATCAGGAGCTCTTTCTACACATCTACTGCATTCCCTTTTCCTGGATCTTTCAGCCTAAGCGGTCCATGTGTAGGTTGCTCTCCATTCTCATATACCCAGAGCCCTTTTGAGCTTAAAGGAGTGAGGATTGTTCCTCATGCAAGGAACACATACAAGGGCCCTGGGGGTGGGGGAAATAAACAATTTGTTACCCCAGCACAGTAGTATGCCAAGCTATTATTTATAGGGTTGTCAAACGATTAAAAAAAATTACAATTACGAGATTTAAAAAAATAGCTGTGGTTAATTGCAGTTTTAATCTCACTGTTAATAATAGAATACCAATTTAATTTTATTATAAATATTTTGGATGTTTTTCTACATTTTCAAATATATTACAACACAGAATACAAAGTGTACAGTGCTCACTTTATATTATTATTTTTGATTACAAATATTTGCACTGTAAAAAAGAGGATAGACTTCATCAGAGTTTTGTGGACTCCCTAACCGCCAGAGCCTACCTGCCCATGGAGAGATTCCATACTATGTCCAGTCTAATCTCTACAATACAGTGAAGCCTGCAGATAACAGCAAGGACCTGCTTACAACTTCTGGGCCATATGTTGGCCTCCATGTTAGTCACTCCTCAAGTGAAACTGCACCAAGTATAATTTTTTATCTAAATTTTATCTAAACTTGGCTTTGATAATTCAAGGTAGAGGACATAAAAATTTAAAGCTAGCACATTAGGGAGAGTTTGTTTTCCTCTGAATTGTGATTGTGTAAAGACAAGTATCTTCTATAGATCTGCAGACTAAAATACTACACAGTTACACTTTTGAAAAAAGGAAGAAATGCATACAAATATACTAAAATGTGTAATGTTCTCAATTCAAAAATAAGGTATTTTCACTGTCAGTAAGTGCTTTCGCTGATCCATGTCAAATATGTGCTAACTACTTATGCTAAACAATCTGTTTCATCTTGCATTTAGCTGTGATGCTCAGAGTACCTTTACCAGACCTGAAGAAGAGCCCTGTGTGGTTTGAAAGCTTGTCTCTCTCACCAACAGAGGTTGGTCTAACAAAAGACGTTACCTCAGCCATCTGGCGTCTCTAAATTCATTGTTTAGGCAACCTAAAAGCTCTAATGAACACCTAAGGTTACCCCCTTATGATACAGGCTATAAGACAAAGGTTATACACCAAAGTCTGTGCTTGATCAGCTCTGCTAGTAGGAATTAGATGCATCTTTCTGTAACGTATTTATTCTGTCTAAGGCCACATCCCAGTGCTGAGAGGATGTGCCCTTAAGTATGATGCAGTCAGAGTTTAATATTTGTTCATAATTTACAAACACAAAAATCGCAGGGCAAAGGATTCATTCTGTGGTTCCTACCTTCTTGCATGCTTAAGAGCAATCAAGTGCACTGATATTCCCAGCAAATAAATTAAGACCTATTTAGAACACTTTCTCTGAGGTCAAACCCATTGTGGAGGTATTATGAAACCATTAAGTATACTTAAATCAATGACTCCTGGGCATCCTGTGGACTCCATACAACTAAGTTCTTGTCTACACTACAGATGCTACAGCAGCACAGCTATGGCGCTGCAGCTGTGCCACTGTATTGCTGTAGTGTAGACACTCACTACAGTGATGGAAAGGGTTTTTCCACTGCTATAGTTAATCTACATGCACCTGACGAAGTGGGTATTCACCCAAGAAAGTTTATGCTCCAATACATCTGTTAGTCTATAAGGTGCCACAGGCCTCTTTGCCGCTTTTACAGATCCAGACTAACACGGGTACCACTCTGATACTTGCTCTCACTAAAGTCTCTCATGACCTCTTTCTAGTCAAATCTCATGGATTGTATTCTGTCTTTGGGCTTGTCTACACTTCCGGCTAAATCGGCACTGCTGCAAGTGATGCAGTGGTGTCGATTTAGCGGGTCTGGTGAAGACAAGCTAAGTCAATGGCAGAGCGCTCTCCCATCGACATCTGTACTCCACCTCCCCAAGAGGCAGAAGGTAAGTTGGTGGGAGAGCATCTCCTGTTGACATAGTGCAGTGTAGACGCCGCTGTAACACAACCTAAGTTACATCAACTTCAGTTATGTAAGTTACGCAACTGAAGTAGCATGACTTAGAACTACTTACAGCATTAGTGTAGACCAGCCCTTTATCTTCCTTGACCTCTCTTTGGCTTTTGACACCATCAACTGCTCCCTATGTCTTGAAATTTTGTCCTCTGTTGTCTTTTGTGGTTTTGTCCTCTCATAGTTCTCCTCTTACCTCTCTGTTTACTCTTTCAGAGTCTCATTTGATGGGTCATTCTCCTACCCCCGCCCCCCGCTCTATCTCTGGGTGACCCTAAAAGCTCCATCCTTAGTCTCTTCCTCTTCTTCCCATCTCTATCTGCTCTTAACTGCAAGCATGGTTTTAACTACCATCTTTGTGTGATGACATGCAAATCTACAGTTCTACTGATGAATTATCTCCGTAGCCTTTCTTTCTGACATCTTTTTGGATGTTCAGTCATCCTCATAAATGAAACATGTCCAAAACTGAGTTATTAATCTTTTTCCAATCTCTCTTGTATCCACACTTTTGCCATCATTGTGGACAACACTACAGTCCTTCTCACTCAGGCATGTACCTTGAGTGTGAACTTTGACTTAGCCCTTTCATCTAGACCCACATATTCAGATTATTTCTAAAGCTTGCTGCTTTTTCTTTCATGACATTTCATGGCCTTTCCTCTGCTCACACAACTAAACTCTTGTCCCAGTCCTCATCATTTCACATCTTGACTATTGCAGCCTCCTCTTTTCTGGCTTTGAATACTGCAAACTTGCTCCCTTCAACTCTTTTTCAAAATGCTGCTGCTAAAATAATTTTCTTGGTTCATTTTTCTGATCATGTCATCCTCCTCTTTGTGTCCCTCCACTGACTCCCTCTTCATCTGTGCATCAAATACAAGATTCTTGTCTTTATCTTTGAAATGCTTCATAACTTAGCCCTACCTTTGTGTCCTCTGGCTGACCAGTTCTATAGAGGTCAGCTGGTAATATTTTAATGACACACATTTATATTTGCAAGTAACTCTGTTGTTTTTGGCTTCCGCAACAAAATGCTGCAGCATTGTTTTGATCTATAACAACATGTCAGTTGAACATCAACCCTTCCAAGGGGATGTACTTGTTACATCAGACAACAGTGAACGTGTGTTTTGTCCTATTCACTAAGTTGAGGAGGAAACAGCAAAGCAGGCAAAATATGTCGTATTTTTAAATGTTGTGATAAATCTGCTTAATGTGCTAAGTTATATGAATTTCAAACTCAGTCTTCTAAAACCATTTGAGTTTTCCTTTACCAATAAACATCTACTTTCAACTTGTCAGTTCTTTTTAAAAATAAATATATGTAGATATCAGCTATAAAAAGTTGAGCAATTATTTATTTAAATCTTGCAAAGAAAATACACACTGTATTTTCTCATATATTACTGGCATATATTATAGGAAAAGGTGAGGAAGTGTAAAGCTTTTATTCGTATGAGTTTTAAGTGACTATATTTGCTCACAAGTAGTAGAGACTGGAGTGAACTATGCAGGCCATCCTAAATGAGAGCAGTAAAACTTTTAACCACACTATCATATTGTGTATATGCCACATTACAGAAAAACTATTTTAGAAATGTTTTTTATTTTTAAAACATTGGGAATTTTTTATTTATCTTTCTACCTGTAAATCCAGGTGCCTTAGTTACCTTGAGTCCAATTGTATAAACCCAAAGGTAGCAATAAAATCCTTTAAAAATAACCTAAAATACTTCTAGATATTAAAATGTCCTAATAATGTCCTAATATCAAATCCTGTGACTCCAGAGCTAATAGTAAGTCTTTAGGTCCCATTGGGGAAACTGGGTATCTCCTATTTCCAAAAATATAAAATTCCTACTTCTTGCCTTGTAGGCTGCAAGATATCAGACTTTAAATTTGTGACATTTATGTAGAGAAAAGCTGTCACTGTCCCTGGGAAGAGGAGGAAATATTTTTGACAGCTTTGTTTGGAGTTTTTTTGTTTTTTTTTTAAGAAAATGGCTATTTGAAGCTGCTCAAGGGGTTGAAGTATTAGAACTAGTCCATGGGAGATGGATTTGTGGACAGATAGCAGATGCTGATGTCAAGGCTATATGATAAACTTGTCACAGAGGTATCACAGAGGACAGTAGTATGTGTATATGTGCATACATGCATAGACATACAGAATTTAATACGTGCAATTCTTTAAACACCATCACTGAAGTGAGCTCATTTTTCCAAATAGCTGTATAGAATTGTTAATGTTTATCTGTAAGGCTGTTATATTGAGGACACTTCACCTGCACTTATGGATGCATTCACTTTTTTTGCTACTCTTGATGTGAAATGGCATCTCATAGTGGAAGTATTTAAAACAGAGATTTTTTTTATTTTTTAGCAGATCCCAATATGGTTTTATGTATCTGGTACATATGCCAGAGTAAATAATTTGAAAAATAAACACTTTCTGATAAAATATTATTTTAAAAAAGTAAAGTATTTGGTAATATTTACTATCAATTGTAATATTAAACGTCTCCGACCGTTGAGATTTTTCTGAGTGATAGGAAATATTCCTCTGGTAGGGTCAAATTTATCTGAGAGATAATAGGTGGACTTCTTTTTTGGTTGAGATATGTATTTGTTTGGAGTAGGTAGTCATGTAGGAATTGTAGTGACATAACCTTTACTCCCTGTTCTAGAGGTCCATACTCTAACATTGTTTTGTTACTGGTCTTGAGTGGAAGGTTGTGTTTATGAACAGCATTGCTTTCATTGATATGCTGACTTAAAGCCAGGAATCATGAGATATGGAACATTGTTATTTATTCATCAAAACTGTTAAATACCTTTGTTATCCTAGAACCTGATGACCACCTAACAGTAGCCCAATCACTGAAGAAGGAATTTGACAATCCTGACACTGCAGACTTGAAGTTTCTAGTGGATGGAAAATATATTCATGTTCATAAAGTCCTTCTCAAAATTAGGTAAGGAATAACATCAACACTTTACTCATGCTGAGTAGTTACTGTTTAATACTGTTGATACTTGGTTTCTTTCCTGTGTGATTATGAGCAGGCCCTATGCTGAAAACCACCTGCTTTTCTAAGTATTAGCCTAATTTCCTCCTCCCCTTCCTTTGGATCCAAAAATTTCATAGCACACTTCCTAATCCTACTTTTTATTTGCTCTCCTCCAGTCTGGCTTCCACCCTCTTCACTGCGTCTATATTATTGTGATCAAGCTTGTTCAGACCTTTTCCTTGCTAGGAAAAAGGAACACTTATCTGTCTTCTTTCTCTGCTGCCTTCTCCTTAGTTGATCACTTTCTCCTCCTTTCCTTTCTTGGCTTCCATATGTGGGGCCCTCTGTTTCTCTCTTCCCTCATCTTTTCTTTAGCACCTTCGCTGGTAGCTCTGCATCCTCCCCTCTCACCCAGGTGTTCATGTTTTTCAGGTTTCTGTCCTTGGTACTGTCCATCCTCTGTTTCCAGCTGGCAGCATCGTCACCTCCAATTGTTTCAGCTGCTGCTTCGCTGGGTGCTTCCCAAATGTACATGTCTACTTCCCCTTCTGTCCAATCTCACATCCTGTATGTCTTAGTTATTTCTTTGACTAACTTGGTGGGCCTGAACTTCAGACGGACCTCCCTTTTTGTGTTCACAACTATTTGCAGGTTAATATCACTTTCCAATCTAACTGATTGATATGCAGATGTTATTAAGTTATGTAAATTCCATTAAATGAGTCTGCATCTTATTTTTAGAACAGAATTTCACATGATTGTTGTTTGTGGAAGCAAAAAGCATAGCACTTTTTCAGAATATCTCCAAAACTGGTCACACAGTAGGTCAGTGGCAAAACTAGAAATAGAACCTAGATCTCCTGACTCCCACCCCAGCATCCTGTTCACTTGACCATACTGCTTCTCATTCCATCTCCACTCTCTTGCTAACTCTTTTTTGCTTCATCCTCTTTAATTGTACAATAATCTGCCCCTTCCTGATAATAATGTACCTCCTCTGCCAAAACCTGCTTCTTGCCTTGATTACCATAATCTCTTCTCCATGTTCCTTTTCCTCATCTTGAATCCTTTCACTGATTTCCTGGATGTTACTGCATAAAATTCAAGCTCCTTGGCTTCACCTTAATTAATCTTGCCTCAGTTTACATCTCTGCTCTCATTTCCTAGTACTCCACTACTTCCCTACATTGTTATCTTTTCTCCACGTGCTCCCTTCATCTCTTGCACTCTGATACACACTTTCATTCTGCCATCTTTGCTTGAAATGGCTTGTTCTTCTTTAAGGTATGTTGTCCACACAGATTCCACTCTAGGTATGCATGTGGGATCAGATTCCTTTGAAAGCCATGTCTGCTGGGGCTGCACCCCAGCATGCCCTTGCGTCCACCAAAGCCAAGGGTATGTGCTCAGCCGCCACTCAGTTCCTTCTTACTGCCTGTGACTGTGAGACGGAAAGCTTTCAGTGCCCAGGCCCATTGAATATTTGGTGCACCTTGCTTTAGGAAGTGTTTCCATGAAAAGTAGTTGGTTAAGAGTTTAGAGTTTTGTCGTAGACAAAAGAGTTAGAACCTTTCTGAATTCTTTGAAGATTTTTGTAAATAATTGCCTTTTCTTTCTCACCTCCAGGCTCAAGATAACTGCTTGTTAGCCACCTAGAGTGGAATCTGTGTGGACAATCTCTTGAATGAGAAAGAACAGTTACCCTGCAGTAACTGTGCTTCTTCTTTGAGTGCTTGTTCACGTCGATTCCAATCAGGTGTGCGCACGCCACGTGCACAGTTGCCAGAATTTTTTCCCCCAGCAGCTCCCGTTGGGTCGCCTGTGGAGCCCCCTGGAGTGGCGCCTTCATGGTGCTCGATATATGACCCTGCTAACCCGGCCCCTCCTCGGTTCCTTCTTACTGCCTGTGACAGTTGTTGGAACCGCGAGTGGCTTGCTTACAAGTTCTACTCACTTCCCCTAGCTTTCTAGTGTAGTTTATGTTAGTAGTTTGTAGTTGTTCTAGTTTTTATTAGTTAGTAGTAGTTCTGTTAGGATTGGGGGGGTTTCCCTTCCACCCTGACCTTTCCTCTTGGGGACCTCGGGGCATGCCTCGATCCCCGGGGTTCAAGTCCTGCAGTAAGCCCATGCCAATGGGCAACCACCATGACGCTTGTTTAAAGTGTCTGGGGGAGGCTCACCAAGCCGATAGGTGCAGGATTTGCAAGGGTTTTTGTCCCAGGACCAGAAAGGAGCAGGATTTCAAGTTGAAACAGCTCCTCATGGAGGCTGCTCTTAAACCACAGCCCGCCTCTGTGCGGCAGGACCCGACACCGAGCACAGAGACTCAGCACCATTGACCCCCATGCCTAAGACTGTGGGAACTCCCTGGTACCGGTCTCACTCTCTGGCACTGCAAAAGAAGTACGCCAAGAAGGGTAGAGGCGGATCTCCTGTGAGACCCTCCCCTGCTGTCCCAGCCAATGGGCACAACCCAGAGGGGAACAGCTGGCCCCGAGACCCTTGAAGTTGGCTCCGGGAACTTCAGACATGCAAGATGTACCATTATGCCTGGGACTGTTGGACTCTCCAATCCATATAGTAGAGGAGGTGGAGCTACCGTCCACTCCAGACACCTTCAAGGCCGCACGGGACCTCATTGCCATGACGACATCATGGTCTCAGAGTCTCCGTGACAAGCCCCCTCCACTGCTGAGGGTGCTACCATCCCGCAGCAAGTGAACAATGATGCGCCCGCCCGCATCGCCAGGTCACCGATTTGTGGCACCGGTCCTATGATCATCTGAGGTCCCACTGCCGGCCCTGATCATAATCACGTCACCGATTCCCCTCAATACAGATCGAGGTCTCGCCACCGCTCCCCTTCCTCGCGGCATCACTCACCTGGCCAGTTCTGTTTGGCACTGCCATGGCCCTCTAGATCCCAGTCCCTGTCCTCAGAACGCAGGGTCTATGTACTCACAACAGAGCCAGCACTGGTTGACTCATTGACAGCCCGATGTGGGTACAATGCCATGGTCACCCCAATTGCAAGGACCGGCACAATGCCCTTTTTGGATCCCCTGGGCATATCACCCAGTCCCAGGGTACCTTGTCCAAGGGCTCCCAGTCATTGGCATCCAAGCCCAAGCTGCCGACGACATTGGCCATGCCCAGAATTGCTGAAGGGATTCCGCTCACAGCACTTTCACCAGCCCCTACAGTGGAACAGGGGATCATTCACCCGGAACAGCAGATCGAACAGGAGGTCCCCATGGACCAACAGGCCCAGGATGACCCATTTACCCCACCTGTATCCTTGTCCTCTTCCCCAGATGGAGCGGTACCAGGAACTTCGGTCTCAGGATGACCACCCGTAGATAGTCGCGCCCACCAGGACCCACTCTGCAGGGTGGCGCGTAACATTGGCTTGCAAGCCGAGGAGGTGGTTTAACAGGAGGTCCCAATGGTGGACATTTTGGCCGCAGAAGGTCCATCCCAAGTGGCGCTGCCACTCATTAGAACCATTCAAAACAACACCAAAACTGTGTGGCAGACCCAGGCCTCCATTCCCCCGATGGTCAAAGAAGTAGAATGCAAATACTTTGTTCCCTCCAAGAGTTACGTGTATCTGTACTCCCACCCGCAGCCCTGCTCCTTGGTGGTGCCTACGGTTAATGAACGTGAAAGGCAGCGGCGGCAGGGACCAACACCTAAATCCAAGGACTCTAAAAAACTTGACCTTTTTTGGTAGAAAGGTCTACTCCACTGCGGGGGCCTACAGCTCAGGATTGCTAATCAACTGGCAGGCCTGAGCAGATATAATTTTAAGGCATGGAACTCCATGCTCAAATTTAAGAAGTTTAATACCGTCAGAGTCAAGGGACGAGTTTGGGGCCATTGTGAAGGAGGGCAAGACAGTGGAGCGGACCTCTTTACAGGCCTCACTGGACGCTGCTGACTCGGCAGCACGTGCCTTGTCCTCCTCATGGCTATGCCAGAGGACCTCATGGCTTCAAGTTTCGGGCCTACCCACCCACCCCACCCCCCCAAGGTCCAACAGACCCTGCAGGACCTTCCCATTGATGGGACAGGATTGTTCGCGGAGCAAACAGGCTCCAGGCTACATGGCCTAAAGGATTCGAGGGCGACGATGAAGTCACTGGGGATGCATATCCCAGCTACTCAGCGAAAACACTTTAAACCTCGACCTCTCCCTAGACTTTTCTAGAAGACGAGGTAGGAACGGCAGGCGCAAGCCATCCCAGCCCTCGTCATCACAGAACCAGGCACACACCTCCTCGGCCTCCAAGCAGGCGTTTTGGAGGTGTGCCTGGGGACTACGTGTCAGACTGCATATCGGAACCGCAACCCTGCTTTCAAAATCATCTGTCCCACTTCTACCATGCATGGTCCCAAATAACATTGGACCGCTGGGTTCTCCACGTGGTAGAAGTGGGATATTCTCTCCAATTCTGCTCCTCCCCTCCCTCCCATCCCACTTCCCTGTCCCTCTTCAGGGACGCTTCTCACGAGCAGCTCCTTATCCAGGACATGTAATTGCTCCTCGCCATAGGAGCAGTGGAGGAGGTTCGGGGCAAGGAGTTCTACTCCCGTTATTTCCTAATACCCAAGGCAAAGGGGGGGTCTCAGACCCATTCTAGACCTCAACAGGTTCATGGTGAAATTGAAGTTCTGTATGGTCTCCCTGAGGACAATTATTCCTTACCTGGAACTGGGAGACATGAAAGACGCGTACTTCCACATAGCTATTCAGCCCATGCACAGATGATTTCTACGGTTTGTAGCCAGCCACAAACACCATCAGTTCACGGTCCTCCCCTTCGGTCTGTCGACAGCTCCCCAAGTATTCACCAAGTGTATGTCGTTCGTAGAAGCCTTCGTCCGCAGGAGGCAGGTGCAGGTATATCCTTACCTCGATGACTGGCTACTCAGGGGACACACCAGGGAGCAGGTGGAGTCTCAAGTCCGACTAGTCAGAGCAACTTTCAAGAGGCTGGGTCTCCTGCTCAACGTGAACAAGTCAACCTTGTCACCGACTCAAAGATTAGAATTCATCGACGCGGTGCTGGACTCGGTGCAGGCAAGGGCGCTCCTGCCAGAGACCCGATTTCAGACCATGATAGACGTTATCCAAAGCCTCAGGCGGTACCCAGCCACTACTGCGAGGGATACCTGAGTGTTCTCAGTCACATGGCAGCCTACACTTATGAGGTATGGCATGCCAAACTGAGGCTCAGACCACTTCAAGCATGGCTCATGTATGTATACCGCACAGGGCCTGGAATCTGTGGTCACGGTGCCAGACCAAGTACTCAAGTCCCTCCAATGGTGGCTTGACCCTTGCACAGTCTGCCAGCCCTCCTTGTCCCTAGTAACGGATGCATCAGCTCTGGGTTGGGGGGGCGCATCTGGGAGAGCTCCAGACACAAGAATTATGGTCGCAGGATGAGCTCTTCCTGCATATCAATATCTGAGAGCTCAGAGCAGTACGGCTAGCATGCCAAACCTTCCTATCCCGGCTCCAAGGCCAGTGTGTGCGGGTAATGACAGACAACACCATGGCCATGTTTTACATCAACAAGCAAGGTGGAGCCCACTCTTCCTCCCCCCCTCCCCCCACATGTCGGGTGGCCCTTCAGCTATGGGAGTTCTGCATAGCCCTCTCCATTCACCTGGAGGCGTTCTATCTCCCAGGTGTGCAGAACGAATTAGTGGATCTCAACAGATCGTTTCACTATCATGAGTGGGCCATCCATCCAGATGTCATATATTCTCTCTTCCAAAAGTGGGGGTTTCCCCAGGTTGATCTGTTTGCCACTCAGAGCAACAGGAGGTGCCCAATGTTCTGCTCCTTTCAGAAACTCAGCCCGGGTGCGATCTCGGATGCATTTCTGCTCCCCTTGGGAGACCGTCTCATGTATGCCTTTCCACCATTCCAACTCGTGCACAGAGTACTGCTGTAAATCCACAGAGACAGAGCTGTAGTAATTCTGCTGGCCCCAGTGTGGCCCTGCCAGCATTGGTACACCACGCTTCTGGAACTGTCAGTGGTGGTACCACTCTATCCCAATCTGATCACGCAAGACCACGGTTGCCTTCACCACCTGGGCCTCCAGTCCCTCCATCTCAAGGCTTGGAAGCTTTATGGCTAAACCCAATGGAGCTCCTGTGCTTGGAACGAGTAAGAACGGCCCTGGTCAGCAGCAGAAAACCACCCGCCAGGGCCACTTATCTGACCAAGAGGAAAAGGTACAATTGCTGGTGTGCTCAGCATCACACTCCTCCACTCCAGGCGTCTATACCACTCATCCTAGAGTACCTTCTGCACCTCAGCCAACAAGGCCTGTCAGCATCATCCATCAAGGTACACCTTGCTGCTATCTTGGCCTTCCATCCAGGAATGTCTGGATGTTCCATATTCACTAACCCTATGGCAGGACATTTTCTTAAGGGCCTGGAATGGCTATATCCTCGGGTTAGACAGACCCTTCCGGCATGGGACCTTAACCTGGTCTTGTCCAGATTAATTGGACGCCCATTCGAACTGCTGGTGACTTGCTCCCTTCTCTACCTGTCATGGAAGGTAGCCTTCCTGGTCGCCATCAAATCAGCCAGGAGGGTGTCGGAGTTAAAGGCCCTTTCCTCTGACCCACCCTACACGGTCTTCCACAAGGACAAGGTGCAACTCAGACCTCACCCGGCCTTTCTCCATAGGGTAGTTTAACAATTCCATACTAGCCAAGACATTTCATTACCTGTCTTCTACCCCAAGCCCCAAAACAGTACCCAAGAGCAAAGGCTGCACTCATTGGATATTTGGCAGGCATTAGAATTCTACACTGAGCGCACAAAGCTGTTCAGGAGATCTAACCAGCTGTTTGTGGCAGTGACAGACCATATGAAAGGACTCCCAGTCTCATCTCAAAGATTATCTTCCTGGATCATGGCCTATATCTGCACGTTATGAGCTGGCCAAGGTCCCACCTCAGCCTCTCAAGGCTCACTCCACAAGGGCACAGACCTCTTCAGCTGCGTTTCTGGCCCAGGTGCATACGTTCACCTCTCACTGTGCCATCACACAGCACGCTAGAGATGATGCAGCTTTCGGCAGAGTGGTGCTCTCTTCAGTGATTTCTTAACTCCAACTCCACTTCCGGAATAGAGCTTGGGAGTCACCTGATTGGAATCGACATGAACAAGCACTCGAAGAAGAAAAAACGGTTACTCACCTTCTTGTAACTGTTGTTCTTCAAAATGTGTTGTTCATGTCCTTTCCAGTACCCACCCTCCTATCCCTCTGTCGGAGTAGCCAGCAAGAAGGAACTGAGGAGGGGCGATGTCAGCAGGGTCATATATTAAGTGCCATGAAAGCGCCACTCCAGAGGGCTCCACAGCTGACCCAGCGGGAACTGCTGGGGGCAAAATTTCTGGAACAACGTGTCATGCAGATTCCTGAGAGGCCTCAAGAGGCTCTTCCCGCTGGTCTGGGCTCCTATCCCACGATGGGACCATAACTTGGTTCTTTCTAGGCTCACAGGCCCACTCTTTGAGCCAATGGGCTCCTGCTCCCTTTCCCACCTGTCATGGAATGTCGCTTTCCTTGGGGCGATAACATCGGTGAGACGAGTGTCGGAGATTAAAGCCCTGACATCAGAGCCGCCATATACGGTGTTCCACAAGGACAAAATCCAACTGCGACCCCAACCGGCCTTTCTGCCGAAAGTGGTGTCTTCCTTCCTAAGTTAAATATTTTCCTCCTACTAATTATTGTTTGGTCATAAAATAAACATCAACTTCTTTATAGGTAAGTAATCCACAGATCCATATATTTGGCTACAAGACAATGGAACATCAGATTAGTAGCTTCATTAAGCCATATTACCTCAAGGTATAACTATTATCACACCTGGCTAAGAGGATAACATGCATGTAACACACCATTGCTGAATGCTTCCCTTCATGAGCATTATCATGAGTGCATTACTTTTAAGAGATCCTTTTTATTGCTGCATTTTTATAACTCAGTGGGTTATGGTTTTTTTGCCTTGTTCCGTAAGTACTCCTAAAACTAAATTGTGAGATTGGTGGCTACGAGCATGTGGTGGTAGTGGTGGGCAGGCCCTGTTCAAGTGGGAGAGGCCAGAGGCATTCTGCCTACACAAACAGGTGTATCCATGGACACTTGGGGATTGTGTGGATGAGCAGCAACTGCTATTCCCTTTAAAAGACACAGCGTGCATTCCCCCCTTTCCAAATTCCTGACCACAAATGTAGAAGAGCTAAAGGGCTCTACCCATGTTCTGCTCCATTGGAGGTCACTACCACTGCTATGATGCACCTACCTTGTGCTCAGAAAACAAAGGTACAGGATTTTGGCTGCCCCTTCAAGTCCCACATCCCTACACAACATCGTGAGAGAAACCAAACTATAACTCCTGCGTATTTTATTGATTTGTGATTTTATGTTTATATATTTTCATGACATGAAAAATGCATAACATAAAAAGCAAAATATATATAGATGACAATTTAGACCAATATAAAAGGAAGATAAAATAACTGATAAATAAGTAGATTTTTGTTTTTCATTTATGTGGTAGTAGTGCTCTTTCTGTACCATGGAGACCTATGACCAGATAATGTGCTAATGTATAGCAGGTTTACTTGTAAAATCTTCTGACTAAAAGAAAAGCAAAATCTAAGGTGGGGCATGTAGACAAGATGCTGGAGGAAAAAACTTAACCTAAATTGTGTTTATTTTAGAACAAGTTTTTAACGGGGGATGGGTAAAATGCTTGGTTACTCAAGAATCTTCAAAACTATCCAACAGATTTAACAACTGATCCATCTGGGCACTGTCTTTCCAGTATTGTTGGAGCCATAGCTCAGTGGTTGAGTATTTGACTGCAGTATTGTAATAACATTTAGAAACTGGAAAAGGAACCTGCTTTCCAAATACGTTGATACTATTGTATGGCAGAATTGGGGAATTATAATTCAGTTAAGATGTATAATACAGATATTACAGGCATAATCTGGGTTTTTAAAGTATTAATGCTGGTTATTGTAACAAAAAGATGGTCAAGGATATGTCTAAGACTGTTCTGGTTTTAATATTTTAAACATGGAAAATGAGTTTAAATTAAATTTAGAAGCAAGAGCTAGATGATGACATTAGAATAAATGTAATCTACAGTACTGATAACATGATGTAGCTAGAGGGTACAGAAGTTATGGAAAAACAGATCTTCAAGAATAAGAATTGTCTTAATTAATCCTAAAATGTATTTGCAAAAGGAGGCAGGGAATAGAATCAGTATAATACTTAAAATATAAATCATGTAAAAGAATTACAATGAGTTTAATGGACTCCTCCCTACCTCACCAAAAGAAAAAATCTGATGGTGTTATCACAGCACTCTATATTTTATTCTCCATCTTTATGATTGATATAGACACCTTACTTGTGTTAATTTACCAAACTTAACTATTCACCATGGGTGTCTTATTTTTGTTCCTTAGGTGTGAGCATTTTCGTTCCATATTAAATAACAATGATGATGATATTATTGAAATGAGTGAATTCTCTTATCAAGTTTACCGAGCCTTCCTGGAATATTTGTACACAGACAGCATCAGTCTCCCACCTGAGGATGCAATAGGTAATTGGCATAAAGTCAAATAATGTCAAGTTATTGTTAAGAGAGAACTTTAAAGTTTGTTTTAACAGATTCTAGAAAGATGGGGTTGATCATGTTCATTGTTATTTTACTATCCTTTAAACCTTCTTTTATGCTCCATCACATGTACATGGATGAGGTGATCCATGCAGCGGAGAATCATGCAGTAGGAAGAGGATGGCAAAGATGCAGTTGGAGAAAGGGACAGAAAGAATGGGAGGGGATGATGAAATGAACAGCAAATGTAGATTGTATTCAAAAAGGACCATTATTTCTCATATTAAAAACAGTTTTTAAAAGCCTCTGATACCTTCCTAATATTACCTTTCCATTTGATGTAGTTGCCACAGACATTATTTGACCACAAATGAGAAGGGAGCTGGCCCAGATGATCACTGAAGAGAGGAGAGATGGTTCACTAAATAACCTCTAGTAAAATGTGATGCAAACTACAAAAAGATGGAGAATTTGTGTCTTAATAAGTGTGAACTCTTCAGTTTGCATAAAGCCTTTTTGGAGGTTTTGTGTAAAAGACTATCATAGAATCGTAGAGAAACAAACTGATAAATCTGAAATACAAGTTTATATGGCTTGCATAAAGACAACCAAATATCTGTGAATTTTCTACCTAATTCTCAACAGGGCTGCTAGATTTGGCAACATTCTATAGAGAAAATAGATTGAAAAAGCTTTGCCAGCAAACTATCAAACAAAGCATTTGTGAGGAGAATGCAATTGCTCTTTTTTCAGCTGCAGTCAAATATGAAGCTGAGGTATGGAAAACTTTTATTTGTACTAGAAGTTCCTTAGAGAGATAACTGTTTTTCTGAGACATGGAACTATTTATGGTAACTATTTATTGCAATTAATGAACCATCACACATGACTATTGTAATCAACTTCTCTGGCTTCCCTAAACATGCACATTTCCCCTTTCAGTCCCTACAAAATGCAGCTGCTAATTTCATCTTCCTTGCCCGCCGACTCAATTGTGTCAGTCTCCTCTTTGAATTCTTTCACTGTCTCCTCATCTGCTATGGCATGACATTTAAGCTTCTCATCGCCACTCAGTACATAACTCTGCCAATGCCACTTATCCACCTTTGAGTTTTGTATCACCTTCTGACCATGTTCTTCCAGTGTACCTTCACTGATCATTTGTCAGCTTTTTGCACAGTCCTCTCTCTACCACCTTCCACATCGTCCCCTACACAGGATATCACCTCCTTGGGCTATCTTGTAAGGCCCTTTTCTGTATGGATTTATTCCTCTCTCCGAGATTGACTTTTGCTATGCTGTTTACAGTGAATCATGTTGACATGTAAACAAATTGCCTGTTGGTCCTTTTCCCCTATCCTGTGTCTTCTCATCTGTCTATTTATGGATTGTGAGCAGGGAATGTCTGGAAAGCACCAATCATGTAATGGGCACTAATTAAAAAAATGTTTTATTTGCAAATATGCTCACATTTTATTTTGTGAAAGAAGTTTGCCTTTTCTTAATTTTTCAGTACTATTCTGTCTGTAAAATATCTGTAGTTTGGTATTTACAAGATATTTGAATATCAATTTTAGACTTAATATATCATTTCAACCTGACCAGCTAGTTAAAGAAGGGCCCTTCATGAATACATCAAACTCCCACAAATATTAACACGAGTTAAGTATGTGCACTGAGACTAAATTTGTTACTGGCCAAAACAGTTGCCAATCCATTGATTCCAGTATAATAGTAGTCTGCTTAATTCAGTGGTGACTTTGACCCATCTGGTTGGTAGGGGAGTATGTGAGTAAATGGGTGTGCTGACTGAACACCAAAAATATTCACTAGTGCTAATATCTTGGTTTATTAATTACTTGTAAAACCAGTTAAATCTGTCAGCTTGGCAGGTTTCTATAATTTACAGCTTCATCCTTAGTAAGAAGTCAAGTCACACTGGGAGACCCAAAGGACGGCGCTGAACTGAGAACTTTATTATTTCTTTTGTTTAGTTTTGCCTTTCTGAAAAAGCCTGTAGGGAGGGATTTAAATGAGAAGAATGTACATGTCTGGCGGAGCTGGATTGGTAGGCTGTTCCATGCATAGAGGGCAGTGAGGAAGAAGGGGCAAAAATGGAAGTAGAAGACGGGAGTGTTGAAACTGTCATCATTGATGATATAAGTATGACAGGATAAAAAATGAGATATAAATTGGGATTCATTTGTGCAGAGCTTGAAGATGGGGAGACAAGAAGTGTACATTTAATATTGGAGGGGTTGGAAGCGGGCAGTGACATGGTCGGATTGACAAAAGAAGATAATTTTGGCCGGAGGCAGAGCAGTATGGGGAGATAGTGAGGTTGGTGAAGATGCCATTAAGTAATCAAAGAGAAGATGACCAGGGCATTAATAATTGTGATATTAGGGACAGAAAGGAAGGGTCGGAGTTTTAGTGTGGACACTGAAGTGAAAGATACCACGGTATGGGGAAGCACAGCAACTTTTACTCTTAATAGGATAGGTTTTCATTTGAAGTTTGTTATAGAAACTTCTAAATAGACTGCCTCACCGTAAAAATATTCTACACCTTTAATTCTACTTGTCAACATCAGAAAAGGCTTTGATCAACCTGTTTCACTTGGAACTATTACAAGTGCAATTATGTGTGTCATGCAACATGTAAAACTAGTCTGGACAAAGCGCCCGTGAATATATTGTAGGAAACAGGTGGTGACAGAGATGGACTGGATGACCTCATGCATGTTTTCCAGCTCTACCTTCTATGATTCACAGTTTTAATTAGCAACTGTAATATTCTTTCAGAAATTTTGTATTGTCCTTTAGCACAGCCATTGATTATAAACTGAAGGAGGTAAGCACTGTTAAAACTGCAGAAATAGTGAAAGTATAGGATAGTGTGTCAGCACTTTAGCTGTAAAAGCTTTGTAAAACTATAAGGTGCAAAAATGTAAAACATGAAATTTCTCTCTAGAAATCATCAGTTCATAAAATAAATCTATATTTAGCCATTGGAAAAGGTACCAATGTTCAGTTTCTAATTTATTTTCACTTTATGTAATCAACACAAGTAAAAGATGGGAATATGCTGCAGTTCTCAGCCCTAATATGAAAAATAAATTGACTCAATTTACTTTACCAAAGATAAATACATCCAGAAGTAATAGTCACAAATAGGATACCTTTGAAAATTGTGGAAATGCTTGCTGAAGTATTGTCTGTTTGTAAGAGTAGTTCTATGCAGTTGCTATTTTTATAGCACATTTCTAATATACTGTGGGCTGGATTGAAGATTAATTAGCTGTTATTTATACTACAAATTAAAAGTTACCGTTTTCTAACCAGCAAAATTATTAAACATCATTCCCTGACTGGCCAGTGAAGAGATTTTTTTTTCAGTATAACAGGGAAGCAACCTCCCTTAATTTTCTTTTAGACAAGCTATAATTTTCTTTTAGTACAATCTATAATTGCCCAGGCTCTAACAGTAGGATTCCTGGAATATAATCTGGAATGAAATCTAAGATGTCATTACATTTCTCAAGCACACCCTTCCCCCCTACCCTTGCCACTTCCTTCTGTATTTTTGGCCTTTCCTGTTCATCTTTTTTGTTGTTGTTGTTCCCCACCATACACACACTTTTTTGTGGTTCCATGCCTTTTCCTTCTGGGCATTTTTTCCCCACTTATCCCACTTTTATAGCTGTTGGTCTTCTTTTTCGGCTTTAATTGCATCTCTGCGGAGGCAGCAGACTAGAAGCATTTAACCCATGGAAAGGACTACAACGGGAAATTAACTAGCATTTTTTGAAGTTCCCCGCTTCCCTCCTGCCCAGTTTGCAATACTTGTGTACTTCACACAGAGGGAAACTGACTAGAATTTTCCACTGAATGCATCCGATGAAGTGAGCTGTAGCTCCCGAAAGCTTATGCTCAAATAAATTTGTTAGTCTCTAAGGTGCCACAAGTACTCCTTTTCTTTTTGCAAATACAGACTAACACGCTGCTACTCTGAAACGTGACTAGAATTAGTACATTCTTTTTTGCAACAAGCTTCAAAGAGGTTGCAGATTGTGAATCATGAAGTCAAAATATTGCCTTGAAGCTAACTCTATCTGTAATGTGCTTGCTGCAAAGGATAGGTTAATTCCTTTTCCTTCTGCAGAAGTTATTTACACAGGAACAAGATGCAAAGGGGACAGGTATCAGTGCATAAAGAGAGGGAATGCTGCCACTGCTAGCAGGTTGAATGGGCAAGGCTCACTGAGTGCAGTTACTGTTGCATGGTTTACAAAACATATGACAGTCATCCACGTTGGGTGTACGTATGCTGAGAATTTTCAGAAAATCTCACTATTGATCTAACACTTGTACTAGTAAGTCTAGGACAAGACAGTTATTTTTACTATCATGTCTAATCCAGCTGCTGTTTTTTTCTCTGCACGTTACGAGATGCAAATTCAGAGGTCAACATGTATATCTACATCCTTGTGAGGCTAACGTGTCCTTTCATTAAGTTAAATATTCGGGGTAGAGGAGGCAGTTAATTTGGGGTCCCACAATGGCTAGAAAATAAATTGTATCTTTGACAAATTTTGCAGATGTTGAAGTTAATTTGGGTAAAGAAGGGAAGGAATCATTAGCCTTTTTCCAGGGATACACTAGGAAAATTGAAGGCTTTATTGTGTGATGATGCATTTATTTCTTTTTGTGTGTACAAATAATTTTTAGAGTAATTGCATATGGTTGCACCTTTTGCATTTTTTTTTTATATTGTATTTCAACTTGAAGGTTGACACATTAGCTGTCTCCTGTTCACATTTGTGACGTGATCCTGATTTCTGGTGATGCATAAGGATTCATCATATAGTTCATATGAACAAATCTCATCCTGTTGTTTTTGAGGTGGTCACTTAGATTACCAAACCCACTGCAGACGAGTCAATCGCAGGGTATGCTAGCTGACTGGATGATTGAAACTTTTTAAACAGGAGAATAATGAATGACACATTTTCAGTATCAATCATTTGTACTAAAATTCAGAAACTTTCCAAATTCACAAACATTTTTGTAGTCTTCCACATATTCTAAAAGCGACCCCATGAACAACAGTGGAGTGAAGAGAAACAGTTACTCACTTTGACTGTGATTTTTTGAGAGGTGATGCAGATGTGTATTCCACTTAGGTGCGTGCACACTTAGCACACCAGAGCTGAAGAATTCTGCCTAGCAGTACCAACAGGAGGGCAGCACTAGCGCCTCATGGCCAGAACCTCTCCCCTGGCTAAATGAGGCAGCGCCACCCAACCCTCCTCAGTTCCTTCACGCTGAACAGCCAGAGAGCAGCCTCTGATGCAGAGGAGACAGAGGGTGTGTCGCGGAATAAACATCTGCATCAGATCTCAAAGAACAACAGTTTCAGTAAGCAACGGTTTCTTCTTCAAATAGATGCAGCCATGTATTCCCCTTAGGTGACTCACAAGCAGTACTCCAGCAGCATTGGGCTTGGAGTCTAGCTCAACAAGGATTGAAGTACTGCCTTCCCAAAGTTTGCATCTGCTCTGAATGCCATGGTAATGTGTCATGGTTTGTAAATATATATATTGACAGCCATGCATCAGCCCTGCAAATATCCAACAGCGAGATGTCACTTAAGAATGCTATTGACATAGCTTGTGCTCTTGCAGAATGTTCTCGCTCCTGTAGCTGGTGCGTAGTCAAAGCCATTCATATGCAGTCTTGATGCAGGAAGTTATCCACTTAGAAATCCTCTGGGAGGAGACTGCCTGTCCCTTCATACAGTCTTCACCTCATCTGTTTATGTCATATGCAGCCAGAAAGGGTTTAGTCCTGTCCAGATAGGCCAGAATCGTCTGATGTCCAGTGTGTGAAGATGCTGTTCCTCCTCTGGAAATGAAAGCAGCTTAGGAAAAAATACAAGTAAATATACCACCTGGTTTCAATAAATGGAGAAACCACTTTAGATACATGAATGGATGGATGAAAGACTGAGAGCGCCGATAGATGCTCCCTCAGTGAGCTAAGCAAAAGGCCCGACCACTGAAGATGCAGCGAATACTCCAAGATGTCTTAGATACTAGCCAGCATCAGCTGAACTCTGCAGGCCAATGACCATATTGAAAAACAATTCCACTTTGCCAAATAGGCTATCCTAGTAGAGGGTTTTTACTACTGAGTAGGACCCTGTCAAACAACCACTGAGCATTTCTCTTCCTTATTCAACCACAGAGCAGCCATGCCTTGAGATGTAGAGAGCTGAGCGTGGGATGCAGAGTGTGCTGTGATTCTGCAGGAACAGGTCAGGATGGACAGGAAGGAATACAGGAGGCTGAACCGACAGTGTGAGGAGGTAGGAAAACCAGCACTGCTTTGGCCATGCCAAGGCAATGAGGATGAGCTTGGCCCCTTCTGCTTTCAGCTTGAAGATGATCTGTGGAATGGTCGGAGTTGGAGGAAAAGCTCACAGAAGAGCCGACTGCCAGCTGAGGTGGAAGGCATTGGTCACGGAGCCTGGACTGAGGCCCCAGCCAGCCAGCATTTCCTGTTGACCCTGTGGCAAACAGGTTGCTCATTGGGAAGCACCTCGCTGCAAAGATGACTCGTAGAACACTGGGCTTCAAAGACCACTTGTTGAGGGAAAAATTCCTGCTGAGATGGTCTGCAAGATGATTCTGGACCCCAGGCAAGTGATCGGCTACCAGAGTTCTTCTCCTGTCAATGCAGAACTGCCACAACCTGATCGCCTCTTGGCAGAGCACCCTAAAGAGTGGTACTCTTTCCCTGCTCACATACTACATTCCCGGCACCAGGTATGCCAGTGCCAGAAGCGGTGTGGACCCCGAAGTCAGCAGCAGTACCAAAACAGCTGGAAGTCACCCTGGTAACATCTGCAGTGCCAGCTGCAACGGTGCTGAGAAGTTTCCTGGTGCCCAGGACTCTTGCACCGAGCCCGGTACTGGCCCTGTTTCCACAGACTGTGGAAGGGGAAATATCAGGCTGCAGTGCCAACAGACCCAAGGGTTCAGTGGCCCGTCCAGGCAACGAGGCTATGAACAATGCAGTCCTTGCCAAGTCCTGGACCAAAGGAGAGGTCAGGATGGAAAGTCAAAGGAGGACTGTAGCCACTTGGCATGATGCCAGCAAGAAAACAGTCGGTGCTGGCATCTCCCTTGTCAGTACCGAACTCAATAGATACCTCGAGACCAGAACTGGAGTTGATGATACAGGTCTCTAACGCCCCTGCTCAGTGCCGGGGATCAGTTAGAGGCACCCACACCATCCCATGCGCCAGCACTAACTCCATGCCTGTCCATGCTCTTCCTGGGGAGGCAGGAGAGTCCACGAGACCTGGAACAGTCTCATTTGGTCTTATGTGAACTTTTTCCTCAGTGCACTCAACAGAGAATGGCTCCTCCCCTGCTTCAGAGCACGAGGCGGCAGCATTCTTGGAACCCAAAAGCAATGACCTGTGATCTGACATGGCTCTCAGTGCTGAAGCAGATCGCATGGCCTGTTTGCCTAAAACAGCACATGTTTGAAGTTTCCTATCCACCTGAGTCTGTTTCATGAACAATCTACAGACCGAACATGGGCCTCATCGAAGCACAGCAAAGACTGTATGTGGGGATCATTATTAGGAATTGCTCCCACACACAACAGGTAATGTGTAAACCCTGGTGAGGGCATCACGTAACTACATACAACTCACACTAATCTTAGGGTATGACTAATTACATATAACTAGAAAAAACACTAAATTCGTGAGAGAGTGTGAGGTTAAGACCATACACAGCTCCAGCTCCAGCCATGGATAGTAAGAAGACACTGAGGGGGGATGGAATGGTGCTGCCACACATAACCAGGTGAGGGACTATGGCTGCAAGGTGCAAGTGGTGCCCCTCTACGGCTCCTCCTAGGCAAAATTCTCCAGCTCCAGTGGCCTGGGCACACTTACACGTAAGTGGAATACATCGCTGAAGCTACTCTAAGAACCCCTAGTTTATGCATGACATCATTTGCAAATATTTTCATATTTGTCTTTCTACTTTGAAATCTAAGGAGTGCCTTCACCCACTCTTCTCTTCCAATCTGTTTTGTATCCAAGGTCGGGTACCCCTTCACTCTACCTTTTCTCCAACATACTATTACTGTGCTACTCTTGCTTCAATCATCTTGCTGTTTTCAGTAGATATGGGTCAAGGAAGTGTGGCCTTGAGTTGAGTTTTAGGAAGAACAATAGCCAGATGGCAGCTGTAACCAGTCAAAACAGCGGTAGCGGCCTTGACAAGTTTCTGGCCTTGCTATTGTAATGTTTTGTTCTAGTATTATTTAGCATTTGTAAACTTTCATGTGGATATTGTTGGGATGAAACAGACAGCCAAGATGTGAATGCTCACTTAAATTTGTAATATCTTATTGAATAACTCATAACCTTATTTTGTTTCTAGGACTTAGAAGAATTTTGCTTCAGGTTTTGTATAAACCACTTGACTGTAGTTACACAAACTACAGGCTTTGCAGAAATGGACCATGACCTCTTGAAGAACTTCATTAGCAAAGCAAGCAGAGTAGGAGCATTTAAAAACTGAAGAATGCTTGCTTCAAAGAAAGATACTTTCATCATGGGAACATTTCCTCTTTGAAAAACTTATCAGCACTCAGAATGCCTGGAAGAAAAGAGGACAACATCCATTAAAGTCAGTGTTAATGTTGATGGGCTGATTTAATAAGCTTCCATGTAGCCTAATGCACAAGCTTTGTGAAGATGGGTATGGTATAGAATAAACAATAGATATAAACAATCTGCCAACAACTTAGGTTTAAAAAAAATCCTAATGGAATAATTAAGTTTTCCTTTAAAATCAAGTGGACTGTTCACTATTTTCCATTTATATTCCTTGTTTTCTCCCTTGAAATATTTTCAAAAACAGCTCTTTAACATTTTCATCTGAGTTTACTGGATAGCATGAAGCTGGTGGTTGCTAAAGCTTCATTATGCACCTTTAAGGTCAATCAAAGTAAATGTGCTACAAGAAGGTTCCTTTCTGGTTAATTTATCACCCCCTCTAGAGAAGTGTTGAGCTAGAAGCTTGTTTTGCTAAATATAGGATAAAGGAATATAACATGCAAATTCCTCTTAAGAGCCCCTAATATAAAGAAAAAGCCACAGAATGGATACTTTGTAAATTAGGAGCAGCCAAGGCTCAAGAGAAGGCTATGCTGAATTTAAGTATGAAGGACTTATTTTAAAGGGCTAGTTTTGAGTTCTTGGCTCTTAAAGTCATTTTCTCGGATGAAAAATAATTGGTTCTTTTTTCCAGGGACTTTACCTCCACCTTTCCAGTGGAACACTAACTTCTAATTGGTTTTGTCATGTAATGAGTTATTTCACTGTTTGTTTTGCTGCTCAGAAACACACCTCTTCACCTGCCATGAAAAAGAAACTCAATGAAAAGGAATTATCAATTAACTTTTCTGCCAGTATTTACAGATAAGACAGGTGCTTGACATGAATTATATGTGTGGGAGGAGGGATAGGGAAAGTTATAAATCAATTCAATGATTAAATAAGGAAAGTTAAACTGAAAGTCTTTTCAAGTGGTAACCAGGTGCCATTCAAATACTTCCTAAAGCAATAGGTGGAGAAGGTTTCAGTATGCTAATTCTTACGTGGAAAGACTTTTGCACTGTGACACAGAATGCTGAGATTATAAAATGTTTATCAGTTTTGGTTTCTGTTATGGTAAAGAAGACTAATTTGTATGTAAATTACTTAATCTAATTTCTGTTAAAAGAACTGGCTTCACAAACTGATGGGCCAGTGGTTAGGACACCACCCTAGCCTTGCTCTGTCATAGACATCCTGTGTGCCCTTGGGCATATCTACACAGCAGCTGGGAGGTGTAATTGCTAGTTCTGGTTCCATACATCTGGTTGCTCTGCTCCAGTTAGCACCTACAAATTGCAGCGTGACCATCCTGGGGTGACCCCAAAAACAGACTCACGGTACCACCAGAATAGCTTTATCTATTGCCCCCTCCTAGATTTAGCAGAGGTTCCCTAACAGGTAGTCTCCCAACTTTTACTTGGTTTCTGCAGGGTGAAAGGGAATGACTTGGGTTTACTAGCAGTTCCTTTTTAGAAAAATTCCTCAGAATATCTTAGACCAGTTACCCTTGGGAGGACTCGGATACAGCCTATCAATAGCATTGATAGATACACAGGCGGTACTTTTCCAAAAAAAGTATCTTTTATTACAGTAGCACACTGCTAATCCCTGGCTACAATGTAATCTAAGCATAAAGCGCTGGAAATAAATCCCTTAACACAATTCCTTAATACAGATTTTAAAATATCCCAACTGCAATGTCATACAATTAGAACAGTATTAAGTGTTGCACCCTGCATACGGTGATCAGCAGTGTGCAGTCCTGACAGCAATCTTAAATCTTCAACTTTATACATATGAATGTTACATTGTTTTATAACACACACCTTTATTAACCCAGACGTACATACACATGCTCATTAATCCTATTTCTGTTCTGTATTTGCACAATACCTAGCATGCTTACTTGCCGTAGGTATCTTTCTCTCTGCTCTCTCAGGGTCCGTTCTGTTCTACACTGCTACCAATTAAGATACTTTTATTTTAATTCTGCCACAATGTTTAGCTAATGACAGCAAAGTGATGTTTTTAGTGCTGTGCTTAGGAAACAGAATAGCACAGCTCAAAAATCTCTAGTATTCCTGGAATGAGCAGTGGCCTGGGCTAGTCATCTGAGAATAATCCTACCCAAGCCCCTGAGTACGTACTTGGATAGCTAGCCTGAGCTGCTGTGGCCACAGTTATTTTTAGGCACTAGCTCAAGCAGAGCCAGTGCATGTACATCTACCCAAGCTGGCAATAACATCTCCCAGCTGCTGGGTACAGGTATCCTTAGTCTATGTCTCAGTTCTTCCTCTGTCAAAAGGGGATAATAGCACATCCCTACCTCACAGGGGTTTTGTGAGGGTAAATCTATTAACTTGTGAGGTGCTTAGAAATGATGGTATAGAAACCAGATTCAACCCACCACTAGAAATAGTCTTTAATCTGCTGTGTCACTAACTAGTAGAGCTGGTCAAAAGTTTTTCTGATGGAACTTTTAGCTGGAATGGAAAATGCCCTTTTGTAAAAACAAACACACCCGTTTCATTTAGAAATGGTTGAAAACGCATTTTGATGAGGCCAGATTATTATTTTGGCACTTTTGGAACAAAATGTTTCAACTTTTGATTTTTGGGACCATTGTTTTATAAGAAATTCTGAAACAGTAAATGAAACATTTTCAGCTGAGACTAAACAGGTTTTCATAAAGTTCAGTGTGCAAGAAACTTCAAAATCACAATTGCCTGTGAAATGAAAATTTGGGCATCTGCACTCCTCTACTAAATAGTCTGCATTCAGTGACTAAGGAAACAAGGCTGCATTTGTAGAGGAGTCTCACAGGAAAACCAATTCTGAGCAGTGTCCATCACCCTTTAGTCTCTTTGCCCTAAGCAGCATTTCAGTTTGCACACCAAGCTTGGGCTGTTTTCTTTCAGGCAGCTTTTTTATTTTTGTAGTAGAGACCATATGGAACTAACTCTTTGAGAGAACTTTTCTGCAGTGATGTCTGTTTTGAGGATAAAATGCAGATGTCGTCATTTGTTCATTCAATGAGGATTTTATGCATTTAATTCTTGACCTGGACAATTTAATAGTATATTTATACACTGCTATATGCACACATAGTAAAAATATATTTATTTAGCTTTCATTCACATTACTCATTAAACAGCAACACAAGTTACTTTCCTTTGCACTTAAAGGTCAAGCCTTCAGAAGTGCACTGACTTGGTGTTGGAAACCAAAATGCATGTGTGTCTGTACAGGTGTGTGCTCGAACAGCAGTGTGAGGACACTAAATCCATCCTGGGCGGTAACAGTTTTATATTTTTTTTTGTTTTTGATGATTTGAGGATGCTGCTGTCACCACTCCTATTGATCTTGGAATTGGATCCATTGTTAGCCAGTATTAAATGCGTTTCCGGAGACTCCAGTTCAGACAGCAATGAAAAAATATTTGTAGACATTTGGGACTGTAATCCTAGACAGGTGAGGTATTCATTCGAAAACTGGACTGATGGCCTAAAATAGCCTTGGACAGCTAAACAAGAGACTCCTCCAACTAACCACTGGGGAAAACAGGTAAATAAATATTTCTTGAATTAAATGAAACTTAAAAAGAATAAAAGTAAATACTATCACAGTGATTGATGTTAGTAGGTTCAGCCTCATGGTGTTTTCTAGGACCCACCTTTGGAATGATGGAGCTTTATTACAAAGCACATTCACTGTGTAAATTGCTGTAAGGTATAAATGCTTTTTATATAAACTGAAGATAATTGTTTCCTTGGGATTACTTTGTAAAATAAAACCTTTATCCATTAGCATGACAAATTTTGCTTGACCCCCTAAGGATGTATGTAGCCCTACCATAATAAAATATCCAGCCAACTTCAGATTTCTGTAAAAACTCACCTGGCTTTATAGACAACTAATAAAACATTTATATTTAGGATCTTAGCCTTTGACCTATTTACTTTTTATTATAATCTAAAGCCTACATAGAATTGCTTTGACCATTCTTGAACAGCTGTTTATGACTTCCTTATTAGCACGTTGTGGGGATGAGGGGAGAGAAATAGGTAACTTACAGGATAAAAATTGCAGTTCCGAAGTATAGTTTAAAGACCACAGTCTTTCTAAAAAGAAAAGGAGGACTTGTGGCACCTTAGAGACTAAAAAATTTGTTGGTCTCTAAGGTGCCACAAGTCCTCCTTTTTTTTTTTGCAGATACAGACTAACACAGCTGCTACTCCGAAACCAGTCTTTTTCTAAGGGCTCATTTACATGTGGCAAGCTGGGGTGAAAATCTACCTATGCACTAACCTGTACACTAGGAATCGGTGCAGACCCTACTCTTATGCACTAAAAGTTCCACAGTGCCCTTTGAACTACTCCTCTTTCAAAGCAGGGTAGGATCACTGAGTGCTACAGAACTTTAGTGCCCAGCAGCAGACTAGGGAGGGGTAGATTTATAGCCCAGCTTGCAGGGTGGGGAATGACTTAAGTGTTTGTATAGACAAGATTTTAAGAAAATGACTGCTAGACTCATGAGCAGCAATAAAACCAGTGTCTGCACAAAAATGGGGGGAGTTTGACAGGGAAACAGATTTCAAGCCTTTCAAAGAAGTTAATGCAGTAAAGAAAAACAGTGATTGCAACTAGATGAAATGCCATGTGTGTTTTTGACATACCACTTCTGCTTGGTAAAGAAGGTTGGTTTGTTTGTTTGTTTTTTTCAGGATACCTGTATAAACTAAACTTGTTACATTTTAAAATATTCAAACTGTATCATGTGCTGGTTTCCTACAGCAACACAACCTTCTACAGATGTCCCACCGTTTCATGCAGTTTTATAGTTTGTTTCTTTCTTGGCCTGCAAATAACTGCAGTAACTCTCACATACTCAAGTGGGTGCACATGTTGTTTACTTAGACTTGTCTAGAGTACCACTGTTTTGGAAATACAAAATTATTCATGTTTAGATCTACATGAAAGAGCTGAAGTTGCACTGTTGAAGAAGAGCATAAATAACTGAATTCAGTTTTTTATATTCTGTTTCAGTAATAGTTAATCAGATAAGTTACGCTGACCTTTAAAACTCATCATATCAGGAAATAAGAGGACATAAGGAAGGGACCCAGACATAAAACTGCAGGGAGAAAAGGTCTCTAATACTATTGTTTGTCCAACTTTGGATCCTTAAGGCAGGTTGGTTTCCCTTTCTGAAATAAAATTTCAAACACACTAGATCATTTTGAAGAGTTGTGTGTGAAGCAGTAATAAAAGTACTAATCTTAAAATGTTATAAACTTTCAAAATCCTCTTAGGGCAATTGGAGCATTTACTGTAACTTACCAGAAATATCAAATGTACTGCTTGGAAATTGTATTCTGACAGTTAATGTGGTAGTTTCTGTAAACTGAAGATAAGATATTTTGCTGAAAACATTTATTTTTTTAGGTGAAGGTTTGGGTTAAAGCAGTCAGAAGAGTGACAAATTTTGCTTAGAGCACCCAGGTGCAATTTACAGTCATATGTACTGATTTTACAAACATTTTGGTCAGCACTGCAAAGCTAGCATAGCAACAAACTTTGTATCCAGTTGCATAAAACCTTACTGAGAAGATAGGTAAGTTTTAAGCTCCAAGTGGCAGGGACCTAAGTTTGCCGTAGCAGAGCAACAGCTGACAGATAGTCAGCGGAAGAGAAAATGAGTGCTGTGACAGTAAGAAATTTGTGAAATAATTTTCTGTAACATACATCTGACTTGCTTTCTTTGTGGTTTGTGTGCGTTATTCATTTGAAGGTGGAAAATCAGTTAAGAGGGTCAAGAGTGGTTAAGTAGACAGAGTACTACGCCATTCTACTTCCCATGTCATCAGTAAAACTTCCAATTAAATTGTAATTCCAGATTCTTTAGTTGGTGATGACGGAAGAAGCAGAAAGAGTAACTTGATTTTCAGGTGGAGTCTGCATTGTTCCATCTGAGGTAGCACAGTCTAGTGGGTAGGCCTAGATTGGGTAGCTGGAGACTTGAGTTCTCTTCCCATCTCTACACCTGACTTGGACCAATTCTGTTATAGCATTGTGCCTCATGGTCTCCTCCTGACCTTTGTCTTGTCTATTTAGACTGTAAGTTCCTATATATATGTATATGTTTGTACAGTGTCTAACACAAGGGGGTCCTGATCTTGTGTGCTACTGTAATACAAATAATGATAATGCTGGTAGAAAATATAGTTAGAAAAATCTGAAATGAACTCAAACTGAGGGAACTAATGGAAGTTTTCTAGATGGCTTAGGGCTCAAATGTGTATTTAGATCTAGATCCCTGTACATGTACAGAGCTTCATTGAAATCGATGGGACTCTGCTCACACCAGTTGTAGGATTGCAGCCTAAGCATGAAACAGAAGGGTGTTATTTCCACATGATACTTTCTCATTAACTTTATACCTAATAAAAAAGGAAGTTACAAAGATCACCAATAAATCTTATTAAAGCTATTTTATTTATCTTGAAAGGAATGAAATCCATTAGTTGTACAATATGCAACCATACACGTTTAAATGTAGTCTTCAGTCTGCCCGAACAAAAAAAGTACATTGTCACAGTAGAGAAAGGATAGCCTGTCTGAGTACTGAACTCTGCAGTATACTACTCCTTGCAGTTCTCTAGCCAGCAAAGTTAAGATCTGGGCACTATTCTAACTGCAACTATGGAGCTTAAAGTCAGTGTATCCCATTATTTGTAGTATGTTTCACCTGTAAACTCTGCAAAAAATAAGCAAAGAAACGTAAGATACTAACACTTCTGTACATACTTCAGGAAGTTGAAACCATATTCAGACTTAAAACTTAAGGTAACTGTTTTATTTCAAGGTTCATCAATATTTCCAAATCAATATACTGTTGTACAGTTTTTAAAAATTGCTCTATGATTAGATTTTGACTGACAAAAACTGATCTTTAAAAAAACCAGATGACACTACCGAAAGTATTTTCTATTTTTAACTAAGATTTTTTTTTAAAACATGTTTCTGTATAATAAAACCCAGGTGCTTTTTTTCGACTGTATCTGCTTTAATTTAGGTAGTTGAACAAAACTAAATCTTCATTAAAATGAATGGGTAATTCTAAAGGCGGCAGCAATCAAAAAGCTCTGCTAGAGCTGCTTTTTAGACTGCTAGAAATGAAATATTTTTATACCTTTATACTAGCAAAATACCCACAACTGAGTAGCTAATTTAAAAATGTATTTGTTTAGCAATAATTCAAATAGCCTTAAAAGTTGTGCCCTTTTATGAAGAGAGGGAGGACTTTGACCACATTTTTCAAATCTGGATGCTTCACATATTAAACTTGACCTAAATATGAATTTGGGTGCACTTTGGAAGTCAGGCTATTCATCCTTAGGAGGCCAACTTGAGGCTAGGGTTCTGTTCCCATTTCTTGGCAAAATTGAGTAAGCTAAATCACTGACTTCAGGCAAATCAGTATTTGTAGAGGTCATAGCAAGAAACTCCAGGTTGGTAACAGTATGATTTCATTTCATGTACATTCTTCTTATTTTTCAGGATCCAGAAATATCAGAAAGGTCACTTTGAGTATTTTGTACCTGGGGAAAAAAAATCTGTCCCTGGAAAACACTTACTGTCTGAGTAATTCATACTCAGTGAGGTTCAAACTGACTTAACAGATGACCAGCAGTGTAACTGTCCACTCAAACTGTGAGGGGAAAAAGTACTAGAAGATGTTAAAAATCTGAGGTATCTGTTATTTGTTTCAGTAGTATGGCTATGTGAGTTTACTTTACACTGTGTTTGCATGTTGTACTTACAATGGTAGGACCTAATTCTGCAACAGTTATGACTGCATGCATAGTAAAGTTAATGGGTAATGGTAATTCTACAGAATCAGAAGTCGTTGCAGTATCTGGCCCCTGATTTACAAAATATGCAAATAGTGCATAAAATTCCAACATTAAAATGAAATCTAATGAACAAAAGAATTAGTGCATTTCAAATCATTCTATCTAACTTCATTTTTGATAGAGTTCAAAATAAGTAGAATGAATTGGCATTAAATGAACAATATTGCGATAGGAAGCTGAAAAACTCCTCCAAATCCTCAAAAATATATAAATTAATAAACTCAGTGGTTTACATTGTGTACATGCTACATCATAAGGCATAATATAATGAAAAACACTGAAGTAAAAAAAAAAAGCCAAACATTTTAAACTAACAATTGATAATAAAGTAACTAACATGGTGGCTGTAAAAGAAAGACAAATGCAGAGAAGCATGCGGTACACCGCATGGTCCTGAGAAGATGTTCAATTTTCTTCAGTGGCTGATGTATCTGTTCCATCATTTAGTTTTTGCTTTTGCATTCTTGTTCGAGTAGATGCTAGAGAAAAGTGACAGTAATTTTACCACCTTTTATAGTAAATCAACTTGTGCAAAACAATTTTAAAGGGTGTATTTATTCATGATACAAAGAATTTAACTTTTAGCCTGACACCTTTTCTAAACAAATTAAACCCTAATTTGAACTACAAGTACTCAAATATTTAATTCTGAATTACTTTGGTAATTCTGACTTGCCAGTTTATTTTACAGCCTTAAAGAACTGTGTACTTACATTGTACAACTCCATGTACTTATACTGGCTCCCATTATTCAAACTCTCTCTCTCTCTCTCTTTCCTGAGCCCTATATGTGGGTCAAGTCCTTTTATTGCTCAGAGTAGCTAATACCTCAGTCAGAAGAGAACTCTGCATCTGAAGTCTGACTCACCAACTTCCTCTAAAAGGAACTTTTCTAAAACTTCCGTGGCTAAATAATCGCACGCTATTAAAAAGTAACTAGATAAAAGACTAGAACATCAACTCAAACTTTGCAACGAGTAAACTACGAACAGGACTGAACCAAATTTTAGTTCCCTACCCCAATTTAACAAAGATATATGTAGAGTGTTTGGTTCAGCAGACATGCCTGTCTTAGAGTAGAAAATCTGATAGGTTAACCAACTGTTTTTGGTGGGGATAAGGTTGGGCATATCCACTGATTTATACACAAGATGTGACAAGCAGTGAAAAACTATACAGTAAAACCAATATTATGGCTGCTGAGAGCAGTGGTTCTCAACCTTTCCTGGCTACTGTACCCCTTTCTGGAGTCTGAAGCCCAAGTCCCACTGCCTGGGGCTGAAGCATGTAACTTAGCTTCCTGGGGCCCCAGGCAATTGCCCTTCTTGCCATCTGGTAATGCTAGCCCTGCACTTGCGACCCATCCTGTGACCTCACCCTGGCGGTTGCGACCCCCAGGCTCAGAAACACTGACCTAGATCAGCAGTTCTCAAACTGTGGGTTGGGACCCCAAAGTGGGTCACAATCCCATTTCAATGGGGTTGCCAGGGCTGGCAATAGACTTGCTGGGGCCCAAGGCCAAAGCCTGAGCCTCGCCGCAAGGGCTGAAGCTGAAGCCTGGGTGGCGGGGCTCAGGTAACAGTTCTGCTACCTGGGGCAATGGGGCTTGGGCTTTGGTCCCCCAGCTTGAGGTGGTGGGGCTCAAGCAGGCTCAAGTTTCAGTCCCCCCGCCTGGGGTCATGTAGTAATTTTTGTTGTCAGAAGGGGGTCACGGGTATAATGAAGTTTGAGAACTCCTGATGTAGATGAGTTGATGTACCTCTGGAAAACCTCTGCATAACCCCAGAGGTACACGTATCCTTGGTTGAGAATGACTGGCTTAGAGCACTGACAAGGTGTGGTCTCAAGAGGGAGGGCAGTTTTGTTTTTAATTTGGTGGGTAAGAATTTTACTTGAAAAGCTGAAGGGAACCCTGTAAAAGCAGAAAGAAACATTGATCTGACTGCCTGTAACCACATCCAAGGAAACATAAAATGTTTATTATAGCTGATCTGTGGTGTTTCAGTATTAGAACAAGGCAATGTACAAAACTATGCAAAATGCAGTCTTCTGTGCATATACAGTTAATGGAGCATATGCCTTCCAGGTACTGAAATCCAAAGCAGTTCACCTGGTCTCTTCGGTGCTGCTGCATCTGGGGATAATTTGTAGTAATTTCGTACGGGTGACTTTCCATTAGAAAATGTTTAGGAATACACCTCGGTGTGACTGCTTTAAAAGGTGGACTTTAACACAGATTTCACCGCAGGGCTATATGAAAGAAGCAGGGATAGAAGACTGTGAAAATATAGAGCTCATTAAAGTGGAGCCTAAAGAGCACCACTCTACCAAAAGCTGCATCTGAGACCCGCCATCGAATGCAGCATGTAGCCACATAACTTCTCTGCCCAGGAAGCCTTCTGATCTTGAGTATCCTGCTTTATCTTCTGAGGTGTGAGTCCTCTGTATGCATTCTTAATGTAGGTTAAGCCATTTGGAAATGGTGTCTTTATAGGCTTTCATGCTGCTGGGTCTGGGATTGAAACAGGATGAGATGCAAGCATTTTAACAACTGTTCTGTCCTTTTCAAGGGTATTGTGAATCTTCTCCTGAGATCCAGTGTGGGTAGATGATTTTTTCTTTTCATACTTGAAGTCAGTATTAAAAAAACAACTACTTTCTGGGATGAATTCTTCCTCTATTATTTTGTCCCTGTGGAATATGCAGTATAGTGGCTTGCTGGAGCACATTATACAGCCCCAATCCTGCCAAGATAACAGGTCACTGGTGGTTAAGAAGGTAATACCGTTGAGTGCATGCAGCACTAAAATAAGGGTGGGATCTTCAAAAGTGTACCACATTGGCCTAACTGCTCCTATTCAACTTGAGGAATTGTATCATTCACTTCAATGGGAGCAGAGTTAGGCCAACTCTAAGCACTGTTGAAAATCCCACTCAAATCCTGTCAGACATCTCATTTTAGGTCTAATGCTTTCAACAGGTATGTGAATATGATCTGCCAAACAGGCCCTCTGGGAACAAAGGACTGAATGCTAATGAAATCTGCACTTTAAGTACTATGCACCAGTTCCGGGGACTATGAGATGAAAGAGCTAATGGAACGTCAATTGCTTTATATCTGCAACCTCTCTCTGTACCAAGAACTGAAAAAGGTTCCAAATAAAAATGTAAGCCTTCAAGGATGATTCCTTCCTGGCCAATAGGTGTTCTCTTTTCCTTTGCAGCCTGTTTTCTTTAGCTCTTCCTATTCAGAAGGATCATGGACTTTGGGTTCTACTTCTGAGAGAACGTTGAGAGAATAGGTTATTCCTCCTTGATAACAAGTGCAGTATGGCCTGGGATGTCAGATACGTCAGCTCAGACAACTTCTGACTCATGGTTCAGTGGAGAGCAATCAACATCATACTGTTCTGTTTGATCTTCTGTACCACTCTGGACAGTAGTGGAATTGGACAGAAGCTATAATAGAGAATTGGGATGACCAATCCAAGGACAGATATCCACTGTTGCCACTTTCTGGAGGTCCTCTGTGGAGAGGTTTTGCAACTTTTGCTGACACGGAATACTGTTTACTAAACCAAAAGGGACTATTTGTGTAAGTAGATACCATTTGATTGAGTAAAGGGTGAAAAATCTGGCACTACAGTGGTATGCTGGTTTTCTGCAAAGGTGAAAGGTTATCTAGGTTGTTATTAGTTTGAAAGCTCAGGGTGCAGACACCATTTGCTGGGATCTCTGGGCTCCACAGATCCTGAGTCAAACTGAAGATGCTTCACTGACTGCCTTATAGTGGAAATATGCTTCTTCTTATGCTCTAATGATGAGAGAAAGTCTCTTCATAGACAGGGGATGAATCAGTCTCCCTCTTTAGCTTTCCGTATTTTGTGCATTTGTTGAGTGCCTTGAGCTTCAAAATATTTCTGATTTTTTCTAGATCTCTTTAGGCCCAGGATAAAGATGGAGTATGTTCCAGAGAATCTCTCTTTAAAGAATATTGGTTTAGCTGGCCTTATCAAGAGGAGACAGTCTGACGCTGCCTGCATTGTCAATTTCTCAGGGTTCTTTGTTGTCCTTAGTTGTAGCAAATGTAGGGATTCCTCCAACTAACATTTTATAATTTTTAAAGACTTATTGATCTGAGAACTTTTCTATATGAAAAAATATATATATGCCCACCAAATCGGGGTATACCTCTTGTTCAAGTGCATATTTTATGCAGTTCAATTTGTGAACTTCAAGGTGGGTGTCTCAGGTCCTCATCTTCTGAAGGTTCTGTTTCCAAATGGACCTTTGGATGTTCCTTTAAGCCTGTTGTAAATAAAAGCCTAAAAGGAGGGGCAACTTCGTTAAGTGTGTGTATGTCTACTTGCTTGAAATGGTGAATGAGTAGCATACAGTTATGTGCTTGGCAACTGCATTACTGAAAAATCCTCTGAAGATCTCCCTTTTGGAAGTGAGCTGAGGCTACCAAGCGCTTGGGTAGGTGCTTAGTTTTGCATTCGCACTATCTTTCTGCTACACTGATAACTACCGTGGACCTTTATTGAGAATATGAGGATATCCATGGTAGCATGAAGAAAAATTATATCAAGATCTTGTTCAACAGTGCTTGTGCTCAAACATCCCTTGTGGAGTGGAGTTTCTTAAGTATTTTGTTAAGGGTGGCTTTGTTGAAGTGAATTGTTGAGATGGGTTCTCAGGGTGCTTTATATCTAAGTTTATAATTTCAGCATCTAGCAGCCTTTTACTTTCCATCCAATTCTGGGAGGGCAAATCCCCCTCTGTTGGGATGACTGATTTCTTTGTCTCAGCTACCACTGTAGCCTGATTTTTTAGGTATTTGTACTATCTGTTGGTAGCTTGGCTATTAGTTGTAAAGTTTCATCATCTGCCTGTTTTGACATCTGCCCGTTGAAAGTTGGCCCAATGCTAAGTTGATTAAATCTCTTATGGCTATGTTGATTTTGAATTTAGAATTTCTTTTGTTAGTGGATAAGAAACATTTATATATCAGAAACAGATGGTTCTGGCTTGGTCTTTTAATGGGGTTGTTTCCAAATTCAGTGCCAGTAGGTCTCTTTGAACCACAGTATTACAGTGGTTCCTGTGACCCTTTGAGAGATGGAATTTCCAGAGTCCCCACTTGGGTTTTTTGGCCATCTTGCATTTCCTTGGTTGAAAGAAGCTTCAGTCACAAAATTTGTATAATTCAGTTTAATCTTTTGGGTCCCGTTCTCCTTGGAATGACCCCAGCTTGCTTGCTTTTTTTTTTTAAATTATTTTCAGAAGGGTATTAAGGGATGATTCCAACTCATCTTCAGATATCCAGCAGAGAACCTCAGTGGGCATGTCTGAGAGAAGGGGATCAATGAGAAACTGAATATGGGCAAAATTGAGCTAGTGAAGGGAGGACTGAGTTTCTCTTAGGCAAGAGAGCCTCCTCCCCACAACTTTTCCCTTGAAGGTATTTCTGTGATTAGCGGAGTACCACTACAGTGGCTCCATGTCCCTCTGATGTGATAGCACTGCTGGGGCAGTGGATTTGTGTGTTTTGGTGGGTCTCCTGCTGCTTCTGGTCTCCTAAATTTCTGCTCTTCATTTAGCTCATCCAGTTCCCAGTCCAACTGAGAAATCTACGAGCAGAAGAGGCATCATGGTCCTGTGGAAGAAGAGAGCCCCGAACTGCAGATTGTCTCCATACTTTCTGCAAACACTTGCTCCAATACTCCAGCTAGAAGACATGCAAGTCTGTACTGGGAAGCAAGGGAGGACAGAAGACATATCAAAGTAGAGCTATTGCTGGTGAAATTCCAAGACAGAATTTAGCAGATGGAGAGATGTTTTGAGCTCCAATCTCTACAATAGATCCAGATACTTGAAGGAACATAGATGGGAGTGGGCTCTCAAATGAAAGTCTCCCTGCCTCCACTGACCAATGAAAGGGGAGCCAGACCACACGTAAACTGTAGCAATTTTTAGGGTCGTGGGGGGGGGGGTAAGACTGGCAGCTTTCCTTACACAAAAATGATGTCATGGAAGGTCTTAGGGGTTTTTTGTGTGTGTTGTGGGGGGCCTGGAAGGGAGGCGGTAGTAGGGAGCAGTGGTACTCAAGAATTTCTCCGAAATCTGCCTCTATACTAAAACCTTTTCCAGCCTAGAGTGTTAACTGCAGTTGCCTCTAAGACAACATTGCTACTGGACCAACAGGCAGCTGGAAACACTTATTCATCAGAGCACCTCTGGTGGATTGTATTTTGGGTTTTGTATATGTATTTTATTTTTATTTTTGTGTATTATAGCATTTATCTGCAACACCAACAGCTCCAAAAGAAACCAGCACAGCAACACTTATTTACCATTCACTGTACTGAACATTTTATTTCTGTAACTAACTTAGCAAGATTAGATCAGTTACCAAATCAATTTAAATGCAACTCTTTTGAGGTTAAGTGCAATTTTTACAACCGGTAAACCACACATACAGTTGAATAATTTAAGAGAGGCTAAACATTCGTTTTCACATTCAGTATTAAAGCTTTCAGTTCAATACTCTTTTATAGGTCAAACCCACGCAAGTTGTCACAAACAACAGCTGAAGGTCTGAAAAGAAAGTTAGCACTAATCTGGCTGTAACACAATGTATGTCTTGCCCTCAAGCCTCACCAAATCCCCCAGATATCCACCATGAGAGTTCTATTGTATGTCCAGGGGAGTATATGGTATGATTCCTCCCTATCCTCTTCAAAAATGTGCCATACAGCTCCATATGGTAGATCCCAACTACAGACTAAGCACATACTATACATCCCTTAAGATCCCCTTTCTATCCAAAAGCAAATGATAAATTTACTACAACAAATCTTTTGCATATTACTTAGAACCGTATTAAGGCCAGTATTTATTTAGAAAGCTTCAGTCTAAGAAAAATTTGTCATGTTCATACACTATCTCCAGGAAATGTCTATCTAGGTCAGTTAGCACACTTGAAATGGTGGCCCAGTATTTCCATTTTAAACTAGATGGAAACTCCAAGACTGAGTAACATAATAAATGTACCCAGTAATTCCTGCTGTTACTGAAATTATGTACATGTTTAGTAAGATTTTTATTTGGAGAAGTTGGCAGGCAGGGAAACAACCTTTTTTATCCAAGATTGTCATTTCTACTTATTTACTATAGTAGACGATACTTACTCATTTCTGCAAGCTTTTGCTGGAATTTGGACTCTCCAGGTAGGTGTTTGCTGCGGACAGAAAACATTTAATTGAAGCAAGTAGCATGTTCTTTTTATTTTTGTTTAAATAAAGCAAGTTACTAACTGTGGTTAGTTCACGTCAGCTCCGTCACCACCTCTATCTGGTTTCTTATAAAAAATGCAAACCTAGCCCTAGTATTTTTTCCTGCATACCAAAGCTGATTCAAGAGTTGTTAGCTTTCTGATACTCAATTTTGCTAAGTTTGACCAAAGCCACTTGAGACAGTAGTTTAATATCCAATTCTGGTCCAGCAGGAGACACTCTTGCTCCTGACACTAGAGAGGTTCAGATTCAAGAAGCACTAGGCTAAAATCTATCACGAAATATTTTATATTATTCCATATATTAGGTGAGAGAGGTAATATCTTGTATTCGACCAACTTCTGTTAGCGAGAGAGACAAGCTTTCGAACTTATGCAGAACTCTTCTTCAGGTCTGGGAAACAAAACAATGGAAAATACTGAATTTTGACAACACAGCTACAACGCTGCATACGTACATTAGCTAAGACATAGTACCTCTGTATGATGGTAGCTTGTTTGCTTTGTTATTATTTTGCTAAACCTTATGTTATAGGCCTCCAGAAATAAAAGTACATATAGCTTCATGACAAGTTAAGAACTATATCCTACCTTCCATCTGCCTCATCCTGTCCTTCTATATCAAAGCGAAGTCTCTTCAGTGGTTTAGGAGCAGTGCTTACTTCAGCACTACGTTTCAGCTGACGGTCACTGCTACCCACCATTTGGTTTATTTTCTGAAACTTCTCAGAAGTCTGGGATTACAAGACCATAAAAAACATTCCCCATTAACTATGTACATTTTCCAGACTACTAGCCAAAAATCAATTTTTCAGAGTTCTATATATCTGCTGTCTTTTAAGGGCTCTTTAAAACGTTCCCTAACTACCCTAATATAACATAGAAGATCTTTTATAAATTCAGGCTATTTCAGAGATGCTAGCAAGTGCCCCAGTAATCTTTGTGTTTACAAATTCCACAACACACTCAACTAAAGCAGTGACACTGACCAGTTCTACAAAACAGAAAACTGCACATTCCTTCCAATGTTTTTTAAATATATACACAAGATTTGACATTCAAAAACTTTCACTCACCCCAAATGATTCACCAATTGACACCAGGATTCTGTCAAGACAAACAAGATGACAACCTTTAAAGATTAAGCCTTATTTATCAGTGAAAAGACAGAAACACTCACAAACTTGCATAATTTGGCATGAAGACTAGTGAAGAGAACATATGCTTTTTAAGAAATTGGCATACTAAACTAAAGAAATCACTCCTTTATCTCTTAAAAATATGCTAAGCATTCAATGAGGGCAAAATATTCACCACAACCTTAATTTCTTCTTAAATTTTTACAATTCTAGACAGAATTGTAGAGGAAGTGCTGAACCACCAAATTAGAATCACCTTGAACTGCACGTGGAAGAGAAACTGTGGAATGGAGAGAATTAGAGGCCGGCTTAGTCCATTCCATGCTTTTTGACAGGAACACCCCGTTCTCAGTAGGTGGGTAGCCCAGACATGCCCTTCCTTTGATCATTACCTTTAGATGTTTGCTAACCAATCATAGCAGGAGTTTAACCTAAAACAAACAATGATATTTGTAACTTTTTCAGTGTCCATGCCCATGCAATCCTTGGCCTCTGTGCTGAGCCTTCCCACGAGGGGCCTGTTGTGATGGTGTTCACTGGGCACTAGACTAAGACAACAAACTCATTTTGCATAGGCCAAACAGCCAGAGTGTGGCAATGGATGATGTTCAATTGCTACCATCCCTGGCTGAATCAAAAACTAGTAGCATAAAGCTAGACTGCTGACCCATTATGAGTCCTCTGAGCCATCAGTGCACATGCTGGTTGCACTGAAGTAGTTCACATTTTACATGAATATGATATACATAGTGATAATATATAACAAATCAAATGAGGTACATCGAAGAAGAGATGTTTCTATTTCATACTAAATCCATCTTCCAGTGGATTGATTGCCAACTAAAAGGCCTCATTCTAAGTAAAGGTTGCAAAATAGGGCTCAAACTTTGGACCAAAAGAAAGAGCTATAGCCATTGATATCTAACAAAATCACAGTGTATAATTTCCTAACTTGCTTGAATTAAATACTTATTTGTTACTGTCACCTGCTCAGAGAATTGTTTATTACCAACCTGGATCTTGGAGTCATCTTTGTGGGTGACAACATCCCTTCAGAGAATTTGTATGGACTCTTCAAGGGTGAGATGTAGATGTTATTTCCAGCAGGGACACGTAAGGGTGAATTAGAAAACTTGTAAGGACTTCGAGGAATGTGGGGAATGGGTGACAAGGTGGGAGGCTATGACAAAAGAGTAAGTAAGATATTTAATAATTACAATATGATGTTTTTAAGTCAGTTAAATTATTAACTTTCAGCACAACAAATATATAAGAACAACTCACCCTATTGGAGGCATACTGCAAAATGTTAGTTTTCAGTTTCTGCATAAACACTAAGTTGTAGAAGACTATAATGGAGTCATATTGTCCTTCCCTGATCAGCACTCGTTTGAAAGTCTACAAAGGGTTAAAAATTATATATTAAAAATAATCTTAAATTTGAATTTCAGTCCAATTCCCACAGCATGGACCATTTATTTAAATCAGCATTGGCTAACATTTAAGGGTGTTTGTGTTTTGTGTGCTAGCTGCCAGCACTGCTGCTTAGGGCTTTTCTACACTCAGTTTTTGCAGATTTAAGTAAATTCGTAGAAAAACTGACTAAGCCCTGATCTACACTACGGGGTTAATTCGAATTTAGCCGCGTTAGGTCGATTTTAAAATGGATGCGTCCACACAACCAACCCCGTTTTGTCAACTTAAAGGGCTCTTAAAATCGACTTCTGTACTCCTCACCCAGATGCCCAAGAACACGGGGGGGGGGAAGGAGGGCTCCAGGCACCCAGTCACTGCACTCCAGAGGATGGCCAAAGCAACAGAAGGTTGTCATTCAAACAATTTGATTTGTAGCATGGCTACAAAAAGCAATGTGGCCTTGTCCCTCCCTCCTCCCTCACTCCACCCCACCGCACCCAGGCTACCTTGTCAGTTATCTCACTTTTAAAAAAAAATTAATAAAGAAAGAATGCATGGTTTCAAAACAATAGTTACTTTATTTCGAAGGGGGGGGGAAAAGAGGGTGGTTTGGTTACAGGGAATTAAAATCAACCAAGGGGAGCAGGTTTGCATCAAGGAGAAACACACGCAACGGTTACACCGTAGCCTGGCCCATCATTAAACTGGTTTTCAAAGCATCTCTGATGTGTAGCACGCCTACCTGTGCTCTTCTAGTCACCCTGGTGTCTGGCTGCTCAAAATCGGATGCCAGGCGATTTACCTCAACCTCCCACCCTGCCATAAACGTCTCTTCCTTACTCTCACACATATTATGGAGCACACAGCAAGCAGCAATAACAATGGGAATGTTGGTTGCGCTGAGGTCTGACCTAGTCAACAAACAGCATCAGCAAGCTTTTAAATGTCCAAAGGCACATTCTACTACCATTCTGCCCTTGTTCAGCCTATAGTTGAACTGCTCCTGACTACTGTCCAGGCTGCCTGTGTAAGGCTTCACGAGTCATGGGAGCAAGGGATAGGCTGGGTCCCCAAGGATAACTATTGGCATTTCAACATCCCCAACAATAATTTTTTGGTCTGGGAAGTAAGTCCCTTCTTGCAGCTGCTCAAACAGCCTCGAGTTCCTAAATATGCGAGCGTCATGCACCTTTCCCGGCCATCCCACATTGATGTCAGTGAAACATCTCTTGTGATCCACCAGTGCTTGCAGCACCATTGAGAAGTACCCCTTGTGGTTTATGTACTGGTTGGCAAGGTGGTCCAGTGCCAAGAGGGGGATATGCATTCCGTCTATCGCCCCACCACAGTTAGGGAACCCCATTGCAGCAAAGACATCCAGTATGACCTGCACATTTCACTACCCTTGATAACAGAATGTCAATGATTGCATTGGCTACTTGGATCACAACAGCCCCCACAGTAGACTTGCCCACTCCAAATTGATTCCTGGCTGACCGGTAGCAGTCAGGCATAGCAAGCTTCCACAGTGCTATCACCACTTGCTTCTCAACTGTCAGGGCAGCTCTCATCTTGGTATTCCTGTGCTTCAGGGTGGGGGAAAACAACTCACAGAGTTCCAGGAAAGTGGCCTTACACATGTGAAAGTTTCGCAGCCACTGTGAATCATCCCATACCTGCAACACTATGCGGTCCCACCAGTCTGTGCTTGTTTGCCTGGCCCAGAATCGGTGCTCCACTGTATCAACCAGCCCCACTGCCGCCATGATGTCCCAATTGCCACAGCCCATGCTTTCAGGAACGTCTGTGTCCATGGCCTCATCAAAATCCTCCTCATGCTGGTATCTCAGCCCAGTTCAGCATATACTCCAGGTGTTTGTGCGAGGTGTTTACAATGCTCACAACAGCAGTGGTGACGGTGAACGGAGTGGGATCCATGCTTGCCGTGGTATGGCATCTGCAGGAGAGCAGAGTTGCCGTGGAAGTGGTGGATGACAATGGTTAGCAGCACCCAGGAGGACCAGAACGGATCCCCCGAGCTGCAGGAGAGCAGAGTTGCAGGAGAAGCGCTGGAAGATGATGGTAAGCAGACCTACTGCACCGTCTGCTGACGGCAGCACCCAGGACACAACAACCATGGTGACAGTGAGCTGAGCTGAGCATGCTCAATGCTTGCCGTGGTACGGCATCTGCACGGAAAAAAGGTGCGAAACGATTGTCTGCCATTGCTTTCACGGAGGGGGGGCGACTGACAACATGTACCCAAAACCACCCGCGACAATGTTTTTGGCCCATCAGGCATTGGGAGCTTAACCAAGAATTCCAATGGCCAGCGGAGACTGCAGGAACCGTGGGATAGCTACCCACAGTGCACCGCTCCTTAAGTCGATGCTAGCCACGGTAGTGAGGACGCACTCCGCCGACTTAATGCGCTTAGTGGGGACATACACAATCGACTGTACAAAATCGATTTCTACAAATCAACTTCTATAAAATTGACCTAATTTCGTAACGTAGACATACCCTTAGTTACATTGGTGTAACCTCCCAGTCAGACACAGTTATACCAATATTAATGTGTTTGTATCAGAACTGCAATCACAGCCACAAGCTGCACCAATTTATCTGAATTGGTTTTTCTACCAATTTAGTTACATCAGAGTGCAAAAATGTAGGCTGTGTCTTCACTTGGAGCGAGGGGTGCGATTCCCAGCTCACGAACACATACTCACACTACCTCTCATCAAGTTAGCATGCTAAAAACAGCAGTGTAGCCTTGTTAGCACAGGCAGTGGCGAGCAGTGGCCACACAGGATAGCCACCCCAAGTACATACCCTCAGTTTGTACTCAGGAGGGCTGGCCCGTACTGCCACTGCCTATGCTACGATGGTGACACTACTATTTTTAGCATACTATCTCGATGAGAGGTAGTGTGAGAACGTGTATGCGAGCTGGGAATCACACTTCTAGCTCTAAGTACCCGCAGCGCAGACTAGCCCGTAAAGGCAAAGGGAATTCCTTTATGTCTTTATGCCACGAAACCCAAGGATGAGAATCTTCTCTGTGTGGTATCTTTAAAGAACTTTTCATTTGTATTTTAAAATATAAAGAAGGTTTTTTTTAGACAATGAAAAAAATGTGATAGCCCACTTGGCCATAGCAGCCGCCCAAAGGTAACCCTTAGCATGTTACAGCCCCAATTCAACAAACCATATAAGTGCTTACATCCCACTTGTTATCATTCTGACTGAAATCAATGGGACTTAAGCACATGCATAAATTATTAGAATAATCAGAACTTAAATAATCATCTTTCCAACCTCACCAACTGGCTCCCACCTACAGCAATACCCTGTTCTAAAAGGCCAATTTATCTGCTTTTAACATCAGAGCCACATGCTGCATACACACAGTTCACGAACAGGAAACAGTACACCTTGCATAGTTCTGTGCAGTCTTTTAAGTTTTCCACTGAAACGCCTAGCAGTTTAATAAAATAAACCGTACATTTTTATTTCACCTACATCTAAGGCAATTAGTGGACAACTGCTTTGGCTAAAAGTGACTTTTCATAAATAAAAAAAATCTTTAAATATTTATATTTTAAACTCTTTGAACCAATGAAATAATCTTTGCTATCAGATAAGTCTGATTTCATGTATTGGATTCCCTTTAGCTATTCAAGTAAGGTTCTCTATCACATTTTAGTGAAAGACTCACCTCCCCTAAAACCTGTTGGTTACTCGAGTCATCATTTAGACAGATTTAACCATATTGCTGTTGTGGTAAAGAAGCCACAGACACATTTTGAGCAATACTCTTTATTTTGGGGCCAAATGTTGCTGTTTGTTCATAGCAGTAGTTCCATGGACCTCAGTGGAATTATTTCCAGATGTAAGAAGAGCAAGATGTGGCCATGAAACAGAACAGAGTACATACAGAAAACAAAGATTTATAACTGAAAATATTGCAAAAATAGTGCACTCTTTTGTAACGAAAAATATAAGAATCACCATACTTGGATTTGTGCTGTCGAATGACAGCTGATAGCATCAGCTAAGTTAGGCAAACATTTGCTCTTTGAGAGGCAATGTAATCTAGTGGCTAGAGCACAGGAGAAGGCTGCAGGATCCCCTGAGTTCTAATCACAGTTTCACCACTGACTGTTAATGTGGACAAGCCACTTCACCTATTTGTTTCAACACTCTGAAGATGTAAAGCACCGCATAAGTACTTACGATTACATACTACAACTACACTAAAAGACTGTCAAGGCTGAATTCAAAAGATAGGAAATGCTAGAATTAATCCTTATTTAGGCCCCCATGGGCATGTGTATTATGAACACAGGACCAGATTTACAAATATAGTTAGTACCTAAAGATGCATATAGACACCTAATGGGGTTTTCAAAAGTGCTTCAACACGCTAGGTTTTAATCTTCCAATGGAAGTTTGGTGCCTTACCTGCTTGGGTACTTTTGAAAATTCTGCCAGGTGTCTATTTGCCTCTACAGGCACCTAAATACCTTTGTAAATATGACCACTAGTCTTTAATTTACTGTGAAA